TGTCCACTCCCTTCCTTTGCAGTTGCGTTCTCATTTATTCTTACCACCCAACTTTTTTCCGAAAAAAAAAAACCTATCGTATCTAACCTACTCTCCACATATTCAAATCCCTACCCTTCTCATCCTCCTCGTATTCTCCCCTCTTATCGTTGTCTGTTTTGGCATTTTTGTGTCTGTCGGTATTTACTCATACAGTTATCTACGGGTTTTTTTACACATTCGAACCTTGATTTGGTACAAAAATTCGGTATAATGACTATACAGCATATCATATCATCCCATTCAACCCGTATATCGACTCCCTCATATCTTTTGGTCTCCTTTCTCTTCCTCCTTTCCGGCGGACACTTCGAACTTTGGACCGGGCCGAGACTGGGGACTAGGGATATGCACACACACTTGCCTTCCCCCCCTTTTCTTTTTACCTGTTTGGGTGACTGTCGACAGATGGACTGACAGACGACATGGAGAAAATGGTTAGATGTAGTTGGGTTTTCGTCATGTTTTTTTTTTTTTTTAGTTTTGGTGGTTAGTTGAAGGAGAGTCGGAAGAGAGGGGAGAATGTAGATCGAGAGGAAAAGGAACGAAGTCCGAAGATTGGAACGAATTTTTTCTTTATTTCCCAGCAAAAGTAGGAACTTACGTTTTAAATACGTACATATAGAGGAGAGGAAAGAAGAAAAGAAATAATATGTGATTTTGTGCATTTGATCTGTCGTGTATTCGTGTTGAGTTTGAAGTTGAAGTTAAGGCCTAGGAGTGCTTGAACAATGTACGCTTATGCACACTTAAAATTCTTATCGTAGTCAAGGTACAAGGGCGTTAGTACTCAATATGAGCGAGATATTCTTTATTGTCAAGCCGTCGACTTATTGGTTACTACTACAATTAGGGGTAAAAGTAAGATCAAGTCCTGTGAATCAAGGCTGCTGCAACATCAACACAGGCTTGGTACTCTGTTGTCTTTGACAAATGTAATACCATGCCTTCTCTGTTTTGGAATAAGAATTATTTTGCCAAGCCCAATAGAAATTGGATGAATAGCCAGTGCCCCAAGGTCTTTTCCAGACTACATCTACCACACCTGAAGACCTGAGTAGTATTATTTATTTTGTCCATTGTCTTTCACAGAAATCTAAAACTTACCACCCTAATGGTTTTGATATTAAATAGAATGGAGGCTGCTTCTGCTCACTTGTTGAGCAAATGAGAGGTGTGTTCCAAGTTGAACCTGTTGATCAAGTTGACTTATCTGGCTGGCATAGACTCTAGTGTCTGCAGCTTGATGAAGGTTGAACATTAACCTTGAAACTAGAGTCACAGATAAACTAGAAAAAGAGGTCATTATAATTGACACTATAACATGGTTAGATTTACCTGCTTGCAGCTGGTGCTATACCACCTTTCATACAGCCCTATATTTAAAAAACAGTGGATAATTTATCAAGTTTGAAAAATTCAGAGGTGATGATTCCAGCTACTTACTGTTGCAAGCTGATCAAACAAAAAATCAGCTGTCCATTCTAGTCAACTAATTTCTACTCACATAAAATGTTAGAATGTTTGACAAATTGGCTAATGTCATAATTCTAACAAAAAAAAATGTTGAATTTGGTTCTGCTGAAGAAAAAAGAAGTACAACTTGCCCAAAATATATGGCACCTGGATTTGTTTTTTAGTGAAAACACATATATTTTTTGGTAATACCTTACCATCACGAAGAAGAATAACTCTGAGAGAGGTTCTATTTCTCAGCAAGCGAAGTTCTCTTCTGGTCATGAAAGCATTGTGGACAGCCAATACAAAAAGTAAGATATCATAGATAAGCAGCAGCTCCCATGCAACAGCTTGGCCTATGCCTGAAATTAGCAGAAATCTTTATTACATACATATTGATACTTACGGATTGATCTATAGCTTATAATGTAAGGACCCAGATATTAAGAAGTAACATGTATTTGACTCAGATACACTCACGATCTGGAATCCAATTGGGTCACACATCGATTTGACTCCTGGGAATTTCCCCCTTGATGATAATAAGTGGCAAACTATACAAACAATTTAGTGGAGAAGGAAAGCTGGAATAATTCAAATCATACAAAGGCAATTGATAACAAGATGACAATCACAGAAATCATGAGGGACAGAAGACGTTTGTTACAGGCATACAATGCATATATCCGGAGGGTAAGAAAAACTGTAGTTAAGATAAACAAAATACTGATTTCAAGTGATTACTAAGATTTACTCACAAACAACAATCAGCTGAGCAATGATCAAGCCACCTTGTCGAAGTTGAGACAGAAGATGACAGCTAAAATGATTTGTGAGTTGAGATTTTTCTGGTAACTAACAGATTTCTCCTTGTACCTCATGGGTAAATCCAGGTCAAAGAGTGACACCAGAGTAAATATACTGAGAAGAGGATTGATATAACGATGGAAAAAGAATAAATATCCATTGATGTTTGCCGGTTTTTTCCATAAAAACTTCTTTTCAGTATCTGGGAAATCTGTCAGAGTCTTCCAGGTCCTGCTTTTTTGGGATAACCTACCTATGGTAAGGAGATGGTCCCAGAGCAAGAGAGCTATGGATGCTAAGTAAAATTGGGGGTGAGTCAATAGCTAAAACCTCACTGATTGAAGCCATGTGCCAGTAATCACATGAAGCCCTCCTGAGCAAGCAATGAGTACTTTCAAGAAAGGATGATTATGACTAGAGATCCCTACTCATCTAGTTCAATCTGGTTTTCTTGGAGAGACATGGGGGAGTTTCAAGGAGATCTGAAGAGCTCAGGAAGAGAAAGTTGAGTTGATATAAGTGTACACACACTGCAATCGGAAAATTGCATCAGCAATTCGACAGAGAAGGGCACTGTAAGGTTTCATTTGCTAGTTCAAGTGAAACTGGACAAATAACAGTGCTGTGTGGCTTCCGATCCCAAATTAGTCCAGCTTGGCTGATGTTCATTTCATTTGTGAGTTCAGTGCGATTGAAGCGGCGTGGTTGATCAATGTTCATGAAATTTGAGCGTTAACACTCGGAACACAACATTCAGCTACGTGAATTCTTCGTAAACTTGAAACTATCACAATCATGATATCGATTCCCATAAGGTCTCATAAGGTTCATCACTCTATTTGGATCGGTGAGCGGCTCGAATCTCGCTGTACTCATTAAACTACGTATACGTACCTTGAGTGCAGTGGTTATCTGATGCATAATCAAGTCCAAACAGAGGTCATCTGCTCAGTGCCATCATGTACGAGTCGGCGGTTCGTCAGAGAATCCATGCGGACAAGAGTCTTTCCACAGACGGCCATGCATTCACCAAGTCTCCATCCTCTTCTAACACTATAGTGTACGTCGAATGGCAGAAAGACAACGAGTACATTGTCTCTGGGTATCGAAGGTATTACGACTCCAGACTCATTGTGACGTGGTATACTTATACTTCTCAGGATTCAATATTGTTGGAAAGGGTGTCTGCAATCTGTGTATGGATGTACGTTACTGCTACATCCTCTAAGACCATGTCGTTGATGCCGACGGAAAGATTTGCATAACGAGACAGGTAAAACCTATTTTCACTCAAAACTACCGCCCTCACATTCAGCTTTTCCTCTGACCCAGGAAACATACACACCCATTTGTGGGGTGGCGTCCTATTTGTCTATGTCCTCGTGACCGTGAAGCCTACACAGTTAACTCCATACGAAACGACCTGGATGGACTCAGCTATGTTCTCGGTATTTTTCGCCTCAGCAATTTTCTGCCTTTTTTGTAGCGCTATTTTTCATACTTCTATGTGCCATTCAAGAGAGGTGTGATTGTCCGAAATTCCTAAATTGTAATCATTTGAGACTCAGCACCACTGTTTTAGGTCCGCCGACGCTGCCATGCATTCGACTATGTGGGAATCATGGTCCTCAATTTAGGGTCCCACTTTCCACTGTTATATTATGGCTACTTCTGCGAGCCTTTCTTCCAGATATTCTATATTTCGGCCATAACCATTGCCAACGGAGGTGGGTAACACTTTATTTTAGTATGTAATTACTGACAGCTTTTGTATCTCTATGTAGCCGCCGCGTTTGTGGTTCTGGATGAAGAATACTCTAAACCAACACATAGAGGCGCGCGAACGGTCGTTTTTTTGTCACTCGGTCTCGCCGCAGCCATCCCTGTTTGTCATTGGTTGTTTGTCCATGGTATTTCGAAAACTTTGACAGACATGGGAGTTAAATGGTTCCTCCTCTCAGGAAGTTTCTATATCGGTGGCTCTTTGCTGTAGTGCGTTATCACTGTGTTGTGTTTACCGTACTCCCCGGAATTAATTTACTCTAGCGCCAATCGTATCCCGGAACGCTTCTCTCCTGGAACATTCGATTACTTCTTACATTCTCATCAGATCTTTCATGTTTGCGTTGTTTTGGGCGCCTACTTACACTACGTTTTCATCTCGATTGCCCTTGATCACTCATATAGTCTATCGGAATGCAGATTGCAGCATTCAACTGCTCCATAAATACTCTTTCTTGCAGGTTTTACACTCGACTAGTCGACATCATCACGCACCCTAGACACAGGTCTGACTCTGCCTGCTTTCATGCTTTCCGCCACTTTCGGATGTTAACGGGACTGACCGCTATTGAGTTCACCATTACACACTTGTTATTGTCCATGTAGATGCCAAATAGATACATCTAATGTTTAAAGTGCAATCGAGCGCGTTGGCGCCTCACCTTGTCACGCCTTGGCTTCTGGCTCTTGCATAAACGCGTTCCGAAATTCTAGTTCGTGTTGTACTCAAGGCCGTGGAGATTCATAATGGGCAGGTGGCTATTCTCGCTCGGCTCTTGATAAACGCGTTCGAAATTCAGTTCGTGTTGTATCAAGGCCTGGAGATCATAATGATTATTTGGGAGTGGCTAATTTTCGCTTCATCCCGGTTCGAGTTTTACAGCCAAAACGTATTGGGGAACATTAACACTCAACCGACCTTAGCTCAGTTGGAAGAGCACAAGACTGTAAATGGTTGTCATCTTGGGGTCGCCTGTTCGAACCAGGCAGGTCGGATGACTTTATGTCCATGTCCATTTTTACCTTGTGCGCTTAAGCTTGAATGAAGCAAGGAAAGGTTCTGCTTCGGAAAAGAGGCTGCGCTATCTAAGTACCGAGTTGACGACTCTGGCCGATTCCAACATGTGTTGTCGCTTTGAGTTGATACGGATGAAAAAGTTTCCAATGGCAAGGAACTGCCCCTTCACTTTTTGAATCACAAATAATAGTGTTTGCTATGTGAAACAAGTGGGATGCCCTCAAACCACTGCCTCAATTGTCCACTATTTCGTCAGTCGCTAGTCACTTAGGACTTTGAGAACACGGGGCTTCGTACTAACACTAACCCGAATTCTTCTTATCAAGCTTCGGTTAAGTATAGGGAAAGCTCAAGGTAGAGAAACGTCCAAGGCAGCAGTAACAGTACCGTATCAAACCTCCGATGAATGAGAAAAGTTGTCAACGTAGAATGGAAGAGTGGGGCAAAGATATTCAGAGTTATTCCCGGACAAAAGGGACTTTGAAATCTCCCGTAGATTTACTAGCAGAAGTCGGAATTGTGAAGGGAATAGAGAAGCAGTTGTCAACAACCGCGGCCAAAGTGTGTTGTCCGGCGAAGAATGTACCGGAAATATTGGATGCTGCCAAGGTTCCTTGGATAGCAGACAGTGGATTAGGGTAGAAGCAGCAGCAAGAACTCTCATCCTTACGGAAGCAGACATTGATTTCGCAGGTCCCCTTGAATACGCTTGTCAAGTATAGGAGGCTTTCTACCGCTTCAGTCTACGGCAAATCTGGTCGAGTAGAAGCCATGCTGGATTGGTATATGGAACTTCGCTTTGGGCCGAAACTTTAAGTAGGATGAGTATTTTTGTGTGGCTTTTAAGTTTTCAAAGACATGCATATGTAGCGTTTGGGCCAATGTTGAGGCGAGTCATGAGTGAATGAAGAGAAGACCGACTAGAAGCAACGGCGACCGGCTGGATGAGACAGATTGTAGATGGTTTATAACGGAGATGGAGGCATGTATCACGGATATGGTCCTTGTCTGTTATGGCACAAGAAAGTACGATGAGACCGATTTGACGATGGCGAGAAGAACTCTAAGCCGTCTGTCACTAGCAAAGCTTCAACTCCGCAAATAATTGGCTTTGAATCGAATATTTTTGAGAGTTGCGGATTATCCAGTGATTCTAAGAACGTTTTACGCCATAATCTGAGATATGAGGCGAGGAACTATTGTGGCTCGGTCATGGTGGTGGTCGAGTGAAGATCAGCTGTGTAATTTTACTAAGGCTTGTCTTTTCTTTCAACAATGTCATCTCCATCCGTTCTCTACGCTGAGCAACCTGAATGGGCCGATGTCATTCCCATTCCACAATACGAGAATGTCGAACCACTGGCTCCCATTCTTTACACGCCTGAATGTCAGTTCTTTACGCGAATCGCCGCCTCTGACCTGATTCGCATCTAACCCTACGAATCTTGATCTACAGACAAGGACGCAACAGACTACTTTCGAGGCATCGTCAAGACTGGGGAGAAGAGCCAAAGGGTGCTGAGCCTCACCGAACATATCATCCGACTCAATCCTGCCCATTATTCTGCTTGGTGCGTACCCTGGAGCATTATTCTTCCGACAACTATTCCCTTAACCCACACTTCTTCACATCAAGGCAATACCGCTACGAAACGTTATTAGCTATTAAGGCGCCTCTCGATGTCGAACTCAAGCTCATGGACGAAATTGCTATCAAGCATATGAAGACCTACCAAGTCTGGCATCACCGTCGTCTACTAATGACGCACCTACTCCGAAACACAGACTCCACCGGAATAGACAAAGGGTCATCATCATCGTCCACTCAATCCCCAACTCAAATAGCTTCGAGCGAACTAACCTTGATCGCACGTACCCTGGCCGAAGACTCGAAAAACTATCACACTTGGTCTTATCGTCAATGGCTCCTAGCGTTCTTCAATGACGATTCTCTTTGGGAGCGTGAGCTTGATTTTGTGGATTCAATGTTGAATGCGGATGTAAGGAACAACTCTGCATGGCACCATCGATTCTTTGTCGTTTTCCAGAGCGGGGTTCGGGAAGGAGAACAGAATAGGGATAGGGTGTTAAAGAGAGAATTGATGTACGCGTTTTCTTTACCAACCTTTCTTTTATCCCCTTCCTATGTCCTTTCCTCCGTCTTTTTCCGTCTCCTCCTTTCCACTTATACATCTGTTCATCCAAACATCTCTAACTGGACCTTCCCAACTCTCCAGATACGTCAAGCAAAACATTTCTCTCGCACCTAACAACGCCTCTGCATGGAACTACCTACGTGGAGTCCTCGACCTCAACAAACTTCCATATTCGAACTTGGTAACATTCGTTCAGCCTTATTCTGTGTCTCACCCGGACACACCAAGTGATCTTGTGGATTTGGAGAACCCGCCTCCGTCGAGAGGCGCTCAGTTACCCTGTCCAGCTGCAATCGAGTTTCTTGCAGATGTCTACGAGAAGGAGGGAGGGGATAATGTGCTGAAAGCGACCGAGGTAATGGATCCTTTTGTCTCACTCAGCGATACGATAGGTTATTCTGAAAAATTTTCCCTTAGCTGTGGAAATCGCTTGGGAGCGAACATGATACTATCAGAAAGAGGTTTGCATATTTGCCATCGGTCTTTTGGCATCGACTGACAATCAAATACAATAGATATTGGGAATTTCGTGTCAAAGAGGGACTACGGGCTATACAAGCGCAATCCTGAGTTAATTTGATGCTCACGCGGTGTACAGTCTAGATTAGAACAATATCTAGGAACCGTATAATGCATATACATAAGAACTTGCACCTATGTGTACTTATGTGCTGTGTAATGTTGCGACACATGAATATAGGAATGTAGGAGTCGAAGTCAAATCAAATTTATGGGTAACAAGTATACAAATCGATGCAGTCTAATACAATGTTACAGCATAACAAACTGTCCGTGTAGTGGGCTAGTGATACAATAGTAATGTCCAATCAAAATTATGTGAAACTAGAAAACCATTCATTGATTCTGGACTAGGTTATCCAGTGAATGGGGCTTAAGGGTATGTCGCGATCTTTTGCATGCAGTTTTGCTTGAATTCCTCGTCTTGAGAGCACGAACCAAGGGTAACATTCAAACCGAGGATGAAATCGTTGAAGAGAGGACCTAACCGCACGGATATGTCTGCAGTAGCAAGAGCACGGTTAACGATAGGGCGACTGGATTTGGATCCGGACCGAGTAAAGAGCGATCGGATCGCCCCAGGGAGTCTCAGAAGTCCTGTCCCAGCAGGTGTAGTACCCGGGCTAGAAAGAGCATCGTTCGCAAGTTGGTTTACCGAACCATCGACGGTGAGGCCTTTATTAGGTGCAGATGCAGGCACAGGCGCAGTTGCTGAAGTACCATAAACGCGCGAAGGAGGGGAGCTTGATCCGTATTTCTTGACGTGATCTACGATACCCTTGTAAACAGGATGATCTTTTTGAGCGTACGCCTTGACAATTGCAACTTGACCTTGACACGCGCTTCCAAGGAGCAGGTCGATGAAATGATTCATGGATCCAGGAGTCCCGCAAATGACGTCGCAGTCTGGGTTGGGACAACCTTCAGGAGTGACACCATCTCGTAGACATTTTCCATGGAAGATACTAAAGATGGCATCCTTCGTTGCAGGCTGGCAGTCTTCTTGATAGGTATTCCTGAATGTATCCAAACAGTCGGGAGCGTCAGGAGCGAGATTGAACTCTGCGTGAAGGGCGACTCCCTAGACGAGAAGCACATGAGCAATGGACTGTGGACGATGACGAAAGATAAGCATACGAGTTTCTCAATGTGATCATGAACAATCGGTGAAAGTCCTCTCAGCACCTCCTGGGTCGAGCCTTTCTGGCAATCTTCTTCGCAAGCAGATACAATAGCGGGTAAGGCGAAGAGAGCGAGAAGAGGGAGAAAATGCATGACAAGATTAATAACAGTGAATAGAGAAAGGCGATTTGTCTGGTGTAGAAAACCAAAGAAGATAGTGGTATGAGGACAAGACGAAATTTCACCTGGGACCTCTATAAGTAGGCAAAGCTTTGTGGGACGAGTCACGCGTCAGTCATGTGACCGCGACCATGGTACCGTGACTTATCCGCCATCCGGAATTCCTCTGCCAACTTAAGAGGAACCTCCTGTTAGTGATGCTCATTCATTAGCACTAGTTGATGACCTTGGACCATTCTTCCTAGCTGACAGTCACGTCCTGCCGAGTTGCAGCTTGTTTCGACATGCAACGAAAAACACCTACACTTCAAAAGTTCAATACCCTTGCGGTTTTTTCTTTGCAAGTACGTCAAGTTTCATCAAAGTTGGAACATGCTAAGTGTTGTTTTAAGTCAAGGATGGTCCCACGCACTATTACCATGTTCAAGATCCTGATTCTTTCTCGTTCGTACACCGGTCATCTTCAGGTTTAAGCGAGATCATCAGAGTCTCCAGCCCTTCTCACTCGCCTCGTTTAGTTTATAAGCCTCTCAAAAGTTCGCCGCATTCTCAAGTTGATGCGCACTACACCTGCCCACCCTAACCGATCTTCCGCATTCGATGCTATCTTTGTCTTGGAGGTTAACAATATGATCACCCCCGGATGGGTAAATGCCAACATCACGAACAACTTCCAAGGCCAGGCTACTTTTGATCGGCTTTCTCCTGTGGTAGTGGATCATTCCTTTTTGACCCTAACAGAGCGATATTCTCAACAGCACCATCCCTGGCTCCGGGTACTGTAATTCAAAAGCTAGCAGAATAACTAAAGGTATTGAGGTCTACTAAATCTGAACTCCAGCTCACTTGAGTGCGTTTACCACCAAGATGTATTTTCTACTGTCCATATTGTCCAACCTGCTCAACTCAGTTTTGATCAATACGCGTCTACATGGCAGACATCCATGATTGAAATGTCCCTTGAAAAATACTCTAATTGTCGCGATCGTTCCATACTCAAG